ATAAAAGAAGGTTTTACATTTAGTGTCAGATTATCGAGTCACGACTGTATTACCTTGATTAAATATTGCATGTTGTATATTCTATTTCAATTAGTTAATTTATTAAACTCCTTTTGGGGTTCTTTGAAATTGCCACTTTATATTAGAGACGGTATGAAAATGTCAAGTGAAGCTGCCTCGTCAAATTGCAGATATAGAGGAGTAGGGATCCTCCGTACCCAGCCCCAAGTTTTACTTTGGAATATAAATGGGACAAACTCTCCAGAGAGACAATTCCCAGAGGGATCCTTGTGCCACAAAATGTCAGAGGTCATGGGAAGAACTTGGCCATCCAACTTTTCTTCTTGGACTTTTTTGTCTCTGGATCATCCGGTCTGGACTTCCTGCTGCTCTGCTTTTTTTTTTTTTTTTTTCCCCTACTTTCACTCCGGTCTCCTGCAGCGTTTGTTTCTTCTTTTTTTTTTGTGGCCCTGAGGAGGGGAAGATCTTCTGCCACTGGAGATGATCGATCCTCCGTTGCTTCTCACCGCGCTTCGGAGGTGAAGTCAACTTTCTCCAGCTGTTTCTGAGCCTCATTTCTCTTATTCAGGAGAGTGTCCCCCAGCTGGTCTGCTTTCCTGAGCATCCTCCTGTGCCTCAGGATTCTCAATGATGAGCTCTTTACCGACCCGTGTTCCCGAGCACCTCCTGAACCCTTTGATTTTTCAGGAGAGCTTTTGCCAACTTATTAGCTTTTCGCTTGTGCCTTCTGGGCCTTGGGCTTCTCTTTTAGGAGTGCTTCCTCTAAAAGGTCTGATTTCCTTCAGTGTCTTTAACTTGCCACAAATTGGGACTAAAAACTAATATTTTCACTCAGAAATGTTTGAATACCGACAGTGGATTAGTCTGCTTCTGAGACTTCTAAGGAATGTTTGGTTAACTTGATGAGGAAACATACATTTGTCTTCAGCTATTTGACAGGGACTTAATAACGTGGTGGTGTGCAGTAATGTGGCAGTACGTCAGGGTAATATCTCAGTTTTGTTATGTGACATTTTTTTTGGTATCTTTTGTAGATAAAGAACAGTTTTCCGAACCAAGAGATAAGAGATCCAGGCCAGTAATCTGTTCCTCACATCTATAATCTCCTGCTGCTCTATTACCACTGAATAGGCTACAGGACAAAACTCTTTTGTAATTTCAAGCTACAGGGATTAGCAGTGCCTGTGGTCGTGTGCTACCTGACAATGAGCAGCAGTGTTTCTCACTGAAGCTAAAAAATTACCTTTTTCTGCCGAGAAGCGGATGTGGAGACTTTTCGAAAATGTCGGCATGCGTCAGGCTTATAGCTGATCTTTTAATGTTTCTCATTGAGTTGCTATAATTAATATTTGAATGGGCCGGCCACGTGACTTTATGCACGTCATAACGAACGGCACTGCTTCTCAGATCTAACAAACAAAGCTGTGTTTCTCACATAGACTGTATAAAAGATGGACGTAGCAACCGGCCCTGAAAAATGAAGCCAACCCGGAAGTGTCAAAAACCTGCAACATTTTGCGGGGCAAGGGGCGTGGCTGGCTTGATTGACAGTCGGGAGCGACGATGCAGATGAAGCCATAGACTGCATAAAAGATGGACGTAGCTACTGTGTTGGTTTCTGCACTGAGAAAATGAAGCCAGGGTTTTGCTACTTCCTAGTTGACATCTTGGATTTTTGGAGCCAGTGACGCAAGAATCGTCGGAGGGGGGCGGAGCCATAGGAGCAGCGATTGGTCAGACGGATTGAGAGGC